GCTCACTGCAGCCTCAACTTCCCGGGCTCAGATGATTCTCCTACCTCAGTCTCTAGGGTAGCTGGGACTACAGGTGTGTGCCACCACACTTGACTGATTTTGTATTTTTTGTACAGATGGGGTTTTGCCATGTTGCCCAGGCTGGTCTAGAACTCCTGGGCTCAGGTAATCCATCCACCTCAGCCTCCCAAAGTGCTGGAATTATAGGCATGAGCCACTGCACCAGGCTGCCTCTGATATTTAGACTAATCGAAGAACACCAGGAAGAGATGAGGAAGGGATGCCTCTGCCACATCTGTCATCATGGAGGCTCTTGTGGAAAAGAGTTCAAATGGGAGCATGTCTGGCAACAGAAGTGAAAGCATAGATCCAAAAGCTGACCACTGAGCTATCTGCTTTTCTTCTATTTGGCATCATTGGAACTATGGCCAGGCCTTAAAGGTAACTTCTTCAGTGTGTCCAGGAAGTAAAGTGCTAGGAAGAGGTTATCTGTAGAAGTAGATTCATGAGCTCTAGGTGGGAAGTACCGATACTCTGCAAGGCCCACAGGAGAGCAAGCCTTCTTCCTATGAATCCCCTTGCTCCTGCTCCCATTTGTTCTTTTGTCCTTTCAGGAATATTGTGATGAGATAGCCCTCATCGCATCATTCCATTCGTTTCTTTGTCAGCCAGCCCAGCCAGAAAAGAAATCGCCTTTCAAAATCATTAGGCAATCTAGCTACATTCTCACCAGCCTAGGTACCTAGATATTCACTCATTTTCTGAGTAAGCTTAGGCAAATTGTTTTTCCACTTAGTTTCTTTACCTGCAAAAAGAAAAAATTTATATATCTGTTTATGTGTGTGTGTGTGTGTGTGTGTATGTGTATATATATATATATATATATATATATATATATATATATACCTTAATTTCAAAGTTAATATATGAACTTAAAGCCTGAAAAGTGTCATAAGCCTTCTGAAAGACAAGGAAACCCAAAGCATAAATAAAGCGTATTACAAACAGTAGTTTGAGCTGCTGTGGAGACAAGGCACCATTTAGGGCTAGAGTGAGACTATGTATTTCATGGATCTGATGAAAACAATAATCAGCATTCTGAGGCACTTGCCCATGATGTTGTAGTACAGCTCAGTAGTTAAGGGCTTCTGCCCAGGAGTAAAACTTCCTGTTCCAATACAGCCTTCGTCACTCACCAGCTTTATGCCTAAGGGTGAGTGGCACCTCTTGGAGCTTCTCTGTCTTCATTCATAAGATGAGGGTCATGCAATATGACTCACTGGGTCCCTGGGAGGATCACATTCCTGACACAGAGTAAGTAGTAAATGGTGGTTATCATGTTGCCTTAAATCACAGGCAATCTCTGTAACAACACTGGAAAAGCAATTTTCATCATCTCTATTTTACCAAAGAGAAAATCAAAGCTCATAAAAGCTAAGGTATGTGCCCAAAGTCACATGGTAACGAGTCTTCTCACTATAAAGCTCACACTACACCAGTTTACTCTCCCATACTGAAATCTACAAGGCACCTATAAAGCATCCATATTCTCTTCCCAAATCAATGGGCTTAGACAGCTGCCATTATTGGCAAAGTCACAAATCAAGTTTCAGGCATAAGGACTGCTACACATCAGCCAAGCCACAGGCAACAATACATTGATTTGCTATAAGCTGAAAACATGATCCAATTCTGCCCCTAAAAAGGGTATACAGTTTACAGGCTTCCCTTTGGATTCCTCTAGATCATGAATCCTGCAGAAGTGTAGAATGCGGATGAAGCCTGGAAATCAAAGACATCCCTGGGGAATGCAAGAAATGAGAGCGGTTTCTTTTGGCCTTTACTCTGTTAGGGTCCGATCTCCTGAGTGGAGACTTCGGCAGCCTGAAGGGAAAAGACAAAAATAGTTTCTAGCAGCTGACACTGCAAACAGAACCAAGGCTCATGAATAGACAGATACATACATATTTAGCCCTTACACCTCCGCTCTCTCGGCATGTTTTGGAACTACTTTTCCACTTTCAGGCTGAACTTCTTGTTCATTTTCATCTGCTTACCATGGTCCCGAAGCCCCACACCTGCTGAGAGATGACTTTGCTGAAGAAGGCCGAGGCAGTGTCGAAAGTCTGGAGTGAACTGGATACCATAAGTGGCTCCTACACCAAAGTCCTTGAGACTGTGACATTCTTTAGACCTGAACCCACAACATTCCCTGCCTGGGGAGCAGTTTACCAAAGTACTGACTTGTTTGCCCCTACATTGCTAACCCCATGTAAATCCCAAGTTGAGCACACTGGCAATTTCAACTGAATAAAATGGCACGTGCATTTCCTTCTGCTGTTTTTCTCCTCAGAAAATAAAAAAGCATGCCGAAATTAAATATCCCTTAGCACTTGTACCCAGGCAGCTGAGTGGACTATTTACTAGCTAACGTTCATGGTCTGCTTTGTAATCGCTTGACTCTGTCTTGATTGTTTCGGTTTTAATGCTTCAATCATCTGTTCTCTCCCTTCACAACCGAAGCTTGATGGAATTTTAAAACTGGGAAATCCTTTGGAGAATGTTCTATCTTGTTTTACAGAAAGAAAGTCAAGGCCTTTAGAGGTCATGAAGTCATACTGCCTCAGTATCTCAATTGTGTTCACTTTGCCCTATGTCACCCGGCCTCTTCCTTGTAAGATATCAGGGGCTGTGCCCACCTGTCCTTTGGCTCACCAGAGAGCTGTTTGGAGGCATGATGGCACCTGAGAGGGATCATTAAGCTGGGAGGACAGTGCCTCCATCAGATATAGCTAAAAATAGGAGCCTGCCTGAGAGCAGAGTCAGCTAGCACGGTTCTATGAGATAGGAGGGGCCCCTCCAACTGCTCACTTGATACTCCACCTGTCCTCCTGGAAGGATGGGCACACCAGCTACCCAAGGCAAAGGGACAGGCTAATAAAACAGCTGCACACACTAAGGGCAACCATGCTGCAGCTGAAGTTGCATGAGCTGCTTGCTGGGGCGGGAGAATTCCCTTTTTGCAACCACCTGATAGGTGGGGCTACATAGTGTGATTAGAAGGAGTAGGAAGGCTCTCCTCTTGGCCCCAAAATACTTCTGCTGGTTGCTGGATGGTGCCTAAAACCTTTCCGTTATGAAGGAATTTGAAGTCCTAAAGATACTTGGAAATTATCTACTTCATTTACCTCAATATGGAGATGACAGAAATAAAGCCCCAAGAAATTAAGCACTTCAACCAAGGGCAAACAGCCTATCTAGGACTTCCCAATGCAGGATTTCTGAAATAATAGTTTCAAAAGCTGTTCTTCAAAAACAAAATTTCTTTAAGATTCTGAAATCAGGTAATTCAAGCAATGCCACATTTTCTATTTCTCCTTTGTCGAGTCTACTTATTCTTTATTGAACTCAATAAAGGTAAACACATTAGAGATGAGGTACACACTTTAGAGATGTGGTCTAACCTGGCAAAGCTGAAATAAGCTTGTGAGTGTCCAGACTTCAGGATCAAAAAAATACGGCTACCTCAAACAAAAGGAATATTCCCTGAGGTTAAACCACTCATAGTGCTTTGTTAAAATGGTAACACTCCAGAATCAGGCACAGCTGACTAGTGTCCATGAATAACCTTTAGCATGATATATTTACCTAAGGCTTTTCTAAGTAGAGCACTTGTAACCATACAGCCAAACAGGTAAGTCCAATCCTGAGGCTACAATCCTGAGAAAGCTAGTGTGGATAAGGAGGCTGGAAATGAAATAGGGCAACCTGAAGACGGGGCTCACTGAAGGAAAGAGGGAAAGTCAGAAAGAGGGAGAAAGGCGTAAAAGGTGAAGCATCAGCAAAATCAGTCCATGGTGATTTGGCAGGTGAATCAGTGATCATCTCTCATCAAACGGAAGCAGAAAACAAAGCCCTTCCAAACAAACCATCCCTGCCACACTCCACCCACAAAACACATCCTCGCCACAGCTCCCAGAGCAGTCACTCTGGAAATTAATTCTTTTCTATAGACTTTATGTGCCAGGTTTCTCTCCTCGGCAATCACGTAAGATCTAGGAAGGAACTTATTTTTTTAATAGAATTTGTTTTAATTATGAGGAAAGGGTGGCTGCCCTATCAATTAAGTCATGCTTCAATTAGTACAGCTATCATTTGGGTCATTACTTTAAGTATTTGAAATGTCTACTTAAAGAAGGTCACTTTCAATTTGGTAAACACGCCTAAGTCATCATATTAATTCACAGCCAGTCACCCAAGGAATGCTGAGTAAGTAAACAATCAAGCATTAGCTAACCAGCCACAAATCCATTTGACTTTATTAATTTCTGTCTTGGCAAAGAAGCAAGAGAAGGAAGCAAACCACCAGAGACATTCTCACATCGTTCATTCACTATACATTTATTACATACCAGGTGCCAGTCACTGGTAGGTTTCAATATGTCATTAATATTCACAACTCAGTTATACATGAATGCTTTTAAAAAATGAAACCCAATTTTCCCAAAAATAAAAATTTCAGTCCCTCAGATGTTTTATTTCTGCCTGATGCAACCCTTCACCTTCCAGGTTTTCTATCCCTCCCTCCAAAAGACTCCCATCACCTGACAAGTAATTAATGAATATAAACTCACACTGGAAGTACTAGAGAGGCACTATTTTAAAAGTCCTAGGAGAATACGAGTGGTAAAAAAAAAAATAGTTCTATTGTTGCACTCAGATTTTTTTAAATATACATTTGGGTTTTGTGTTAGGAGGCGTAGCTTATACTTGTTCAAAAAGTTTTTTAATAAAATACACACATATATATATGTTCCAAATGCAGAGAGAGATGTATACATCCTAGGAATAAAGTCTTAAAAGAGTGCCACTTTATCAGAGGAATTTCCTTTGCCTCATTTCAAAGGAAGCACCCCCTTTCCCATCTGCTCCTGACAACACTGAAAAACTGGCACCCATTCAAATCAATACCCAAGAAAAGACCCACGCTGAGAACTGACCTCAAGCTCTGCTCATCAGTAAGAAAAGGAGTTGGCCTGGAGATGTCCCACGTTCCCTCTATGGCCTGCAGATTAGGGGGTCCAGTGTCACCTAATCTTCTACTACAGCTCCATGGGGAGAGGGTACAGATACCATACATATCCACACACTGAACCCAGCCTGGTCCCCGACAAACGCATGCTGCAGGCCCCTACCCATGAGGCCCCAACTTTCCCCAGGGAGCTCCAGCCAGCTTACCAAGATACACAAAACACCCCCACACCACCCAGAAGGAGAGAGGAATCTCTTTCCCTCAGCCAGACAGTCTCCTGAGGCTGCTGACATCACAAAGGTGTCAACTGGCCACCTCATTGTCATGTGGTTCTCCCCTGGCTCCCCTTCACTTGCAAACACAGGGAAAGGGTGAGACCTTTCAAAGCTGCCAAATGGGCAAGCTTCCAGCGGCAGTCTGGGAGCGAGTGGCAGAGCCACCAAGCTGGGCGGCAGGGCAGTGAGCCTCGCGTTTCAATTTCTGTTCAGTTCTCCTGTAATGGAAAATTGCTTTGCACAAAGCTAAAGTGTTACAGTTCTTTCCAGCGCCCCTCCCCCGCCCCACTCCCCCACTGGCAGCCTTCGGATCAGAGGGACAGAGCCCGCAGGAAGGTGGAAGGACGGTGGTTGTGGCTTCTTACTATGTCCCTTGCTTCAGGCCCTGGCCCTGGGTGGTTACTCTTTTCCTTTGGAATGGGGCTGGTATCAGGGTCAAAGTGTCCAAATAATTGTCTGTGTCAAGCCCAAGAAGTAATCTGCACAGGGAGACAGTTAACCGAATACCCACTTGACATACCCCTGAACGCCCGGAGGCTGTTCCTGAACGAGAACAGAATCACTAGTTTGCCAGCAATGCATCTAGGACTCCTCAGTGACCTTGTTTATTTGGACTGTCAGAACAACCGGATTCGAGAGGTGATGGATTACACCTTCATCGGGGTCTTCAAACTCATCTACCTTGACCTCAGCTCCAACAACCTGACCTCGATCTCCCCATTCACTTTCTCGGTGCTCAGCAACCTGGTGCAGCTGAACATTGCCAACAACCCTCACCTGTTATCGCTTCACAAGTTCACCTTTGCCAACACCACCTCTTTGAGGTACCTGGACCTCAGAAATACCGGCTTGCAGACCCTGGACAGTGATGCCTTCCACCACCTCCCTGTTCTCGAGACCCTGTTTCTGAGTGGAAACCCCTGGAAGTGCAACTGCTCTTTCCTGGACTTCGCCATCTTCTTAATAGTGTCCCATATGGACCCCTCAGGTGAGGGCTTGATTGGGTGTGGGGAAGAGGATGTGATTGAAGTGGCTCCAGAAAAGGTGAAGTCAAAAGATGCTCAGAGTGGGTGAGAAAGTTGGGTAAAGCTGATTGGAAGCATTCTTATTACTCTGCAGGGCCCACCCTTGGGTTGACTGGAGAAGCAATAAGAAAAAATTCTGAAATAGAAATTCAAAGAGCTGAGTTCTGATCCCAAACTCAGCACTTACCAGTTGGCTACCCTTGAAAATGTCACCATTTCTCCCTAGCCTTGGTTTTCTAATCCATAAAGTGGGGACAATAATATTACCTAACGTACAGAGTTGCATCAAATGTATGATGTGTGTAGAAACGATAAAGTACTCTAATTGCAAAGTGATAAGGTAATACAGGGACACTGTATTCTGTTGGTAAACTATTTTAATCTGTTTAATTCAACAACTGAATTTTTCCAGAATCAAAAAGTAAGTTCAGTCATTCATAAGCAGTAGAGAATTCAATAAGAGTATGATATATAGAAGGGAAAATTTCATAAGCAGATGGAAGGAAGGGCGTGTGAGCTACCCAGACAGTGAGAGAGGGAGGAGGGGAGAAGGAAGAAAGAGCTTTTGATAGTTGCTTTGTTTTGAAGATGCCGGCCCCCTACAGAAGGAGAGAATGGCATGAATCAGTGGGAAAGGGTTCCCAGTGCTCCCGGTGTCAAGCGGAGAGATTCTAGTCTTACAGACAGATGCTCAACTCTTATCTGGAAGGCTTCCAAGCTCCTTGCTGCCACTCTACTCACTGTCCTCCCCAACCTGCCATGGCCCCTGTGCCTCATTCCCTATTTGTCTTAGGGACTTTACTGTCTCGTCCTTATCCTCCAATTCTTCTTCCCCCAATAATAGTACTTTACTCAGGAAAGTCAGAGCTTCAGAAATACGAGAAATAACTCCTCACATAAAGCCTGGAGCCACTGACGTAATCCAGCAAAATTGGACTCTGGGTAGAAAATCAAACCCTGTTAAAACCATATCTTCTCCTTTCCCTGGGTGTTTGCCTTTGAAAATGTTTTCATAGAGCCGGCTTCATAAAAGTCCTGAAGTTTCCACCATGAAGTCCTGCCCAGGTAGCAATATCCTAGGAATAATCCTGGCCAGAATGACAGACGTCAGGAAGAACTGGGGAGAGAGAACCAAGTAGTGACAGCAAGTGAAAAACGTGCCCTCCTGGCCTCCCAATGGGCAGGTCTCAAAAAGTCCTCGCGGCAGAGTCTGGACTGGGATGAGGCCAGCAGGGCTTTTAGGAGGCAAAATTTAAGGAGGCACTGAGAGTGAGTGCACTGAGATTGACATTGCGAGTCAGTGCCTCCTTAAATGTTGTGTCTTAGACACCCGGCCCTACTGCCAGATATTTCAACTTCAGTTGTTAGAGTAAATCAAAGGGAACTAACTTTGTCAGACCACCTTCCAACAGGACTAGAACACAGAAGCAGTTATCTTGGGTAGGTTGCCCTGCCTCTCTGCAACACCATCTCTAGGAGCCAGAGATAATGTGTTCTACTTTTCTCCAAAACTGGTGCTGTGATAGTTTCTAGAAAGCACTATCAAAGAGGGCCAATATTAATCATCCTCATGCATAACATATGGTCCATAAAGGGGATTCTCCCCTGTCCATGTTACTGTAAATCCGCCTGTGGACGGGTGCTGTCTTCTCTTGCCCCTCACTACCACACATGCACTTTTTCTTGAATAGAGCCCATCAGATTGCAAGGGGGACCTCCCACCCCAGCTGACAAGAGTGACATAGCTTGGCTTCCACCCCAGCACCTAAGCCTACTACTATTTCACCTCCCAGTTCACCTCCCTTCATCAAATTTCTGCTTGCACAGTTGGATCTTCTCAGAATTTTCAGGCTGACCACTTTGGACTCCTTGACTCTTCAGTTCAATCCACAGTTGAATGGAATTATTTCTTTTTCACTGCATAGTTTCCAAGACATCAGAAAGGAGTGTCTATGTTGTCAAGCTCATAAGCTCAACATGAATGAAGAGTCTGTTTTGTGAGATAGACAAAGCTTTTGTCCCACAGCCATGGGACCCCACACATGCGCCCACAACTGCCAATTTACTCACCTCCCTCCATTTTTCCACAATGGTACCTCATTTTCTTTAGTGTGAGTATCACACAACACTGAAATTTCTGCCCTCAGCCTGTGGAGGAGACAAGGATTAGTATTTTTAACCCTATCCTTGAATGAGAAAATAGATTGACCTCCCCAAAATCACACAGCTGATAAATGGCAGGAAAGTTATTTGAATCCCTTGATTTCAAATGCAGGTCTTTTTCCACAAGGCTATACTATCTCATAAATCCTCAAATTACATAACTGTCATCCTCTAAGTGAGTTTAGTTATAAATTTAAGTCGTATTACAAACATACGGCTACAGCATCTAAACTTCAGATTTATTTTTTTAACTGGCTGCCACCTGGAACTGACTCCAGATCATTTTCATTGGATAATAAGCACTAACCATCATAAATTCATTGAAATGCCTATGCTTCCCTTGCAAACCCAGGTTTCACCCCAGTCCACCCCAACTCCTAAAGGGTAAATCTAACCTTAGCATTGGCTCTCATTTGGGCCCTAATCAGTCTGGTTTTCCCTTCCCATACACACATACAATCACAAATGTGCACACAAACACACACATATGCAAAGATTTACATATACCATGTATGTTTATACCATATATACATACACATATATACATACATGTGTTACATACCTACACGTATATACCATATATACACACATACCTACTTATATGCCCACCCACATATTACATACATATACATAAATGTACAGATTCATGCCCATACACATGAACAGATATGTGCATGCCCATAAAGTTGAACACACATACAGTAGAATTCATTAGCTGCTTCACTTGCCCTGTAGCCAGACCTCCATGCAAAAAAAAGATACTGAGTTCATTTGACTGTCCTATGATGATTCATGATCTCCACTAGGTGAAAATATCTTCACTATTGGCAAACATTCTCGGTGAACTCTCAAACTGAAGTCCATCTATTTACACCACATCTGTTATCAAAATGGTGATCTTTGGCACATTCTAGCATGGAGCCCAGGAATCTCTCTACATATGTGCACATTTCAGGAAATAGGAAGATTTCTATGAAATAAGCTGAGCAACCTGGTTGTTTATAAGACACAATCCAGTTCACAAACAGGTTCATTTTAGACCCAAGGAAATACTGAACCTTAGCAATGGGAAATGTTCACTGTGGCGTAATATTAAGGGCAATATGAGAGTGCACATGTATATATATATATTCCTTGAAAAGCAATACAATGAAGGACTTCCATGCTACAATTGAGTTCATCCATTCATCTATTTAAATACTTATGAGTACCTACTATGTGTCAAACAAGTGCTCATGTAGGTAACTAACCAAGAAACCTGAGGCTGCATATGGAGACTCACATAACTCTGGGTCATCTGCATATATCGGTGTCATAGTTCAGTTGGGTGTAACAGAACAAAACAGGGCAGGACAAACGAAGCCAGCATGTGCCTACTGGAGTAACAGGCACTTAGGACAGCCACTTGTACTCTAGGCAATGAAGGACAGCCACCCTGCCGGCAGCAGAGCCCAATGTTGAGAGCTCAGATTTTAGAATAAAATCAACAGGTTATAATCCTAGCCCTGATGCTAACTGTAGGATATAAGACAAGTTACTTAACCTCTCTGAACTTTAATTTCCTCATCTTGAAGACAAGGATAATAATAGAACCAACATTCCTAGGGCTGTCATAAAATGAAATGAGAACATTTATGAAGTGCCATTAGCATTTAAGCTTGACACACTATAAGCAATCAAAAAACAAATGATTGGTAGATGAGGAAAGATACAGGATACTAAGAGAGTATAATGGCAG